ATTTCTGTCTTATGACTCAACCTAATTTTAAAAGTGAATATGCAGAAATATTAAAAGGAAAAACTGTGCTTTGATGGGAAAACATGCATTCTAATATTTATTTCTGGAAACCTTTAACCTTCTAGAACAGCTTCAGTACCAAGCTTCAGTACAATTATGTTTTTATAGTTTGTATTCATTTCTGATGCATGGTATGTGTCAGAATGTATGTATTAGTGACACCAAGAACTAGAGAACCTACCATAACAGGATTAAATGGGATGTAAGTGTTCCTCACAGTACTGGCACATAGTAGGTGCTGATATATATCAGTCAAAATGCAAAGAATGAACAGAGAGAATGAAGTTCTTGGAGAAGACTTCTTAACGGGCATCAGCCTTCTTTAAAGGCATCCTGTGGTAGACAAATGGTTTACATCCCAAAGCCAGAGCTTGTAAACATGATACATCTCCTGGCAAACAGCCAACAAGGAAGCCAGTAGAATTTTAAAACTCTAACCAGTTGACATTAAAACAGAGAGATTAGTCTAAATGATCCAGGTAGATCCAATGTTATTCCTTTAACTAAGGAAGGTAGAGGCAAAAGAAGCCAGTGCGATCATAGCATGATTTTAAAAAGATACAATCTGACACCACAAGCTTTGGAGAAACAGTAAATATCCTATCAATGCTAGAGTCCTATATAGGAACTAGAATAGACAAGAAAATGGGGATTCTCATTCAGAACTTTCAGGAAACAAGGCAACTCTGCTGACTGAGACCAAGTAACAGACTCCTCTGACTCTAAATAATAATAAAAAAAAATGCATTGTTTTAAGTTGCTAAATTTTGTGATATCATTCCAGAAGCTGATACAGCTTTCCAGATAATGACAGAGTGAATTTGGGAACCACTGTGATGTACTCTGTAGCAGGCCACTCTTCCAGCTTCAAAGGAATAACAATTTGTTATAAGAACAAAACTATTTTTCTTACCTTTAATTTTGTTCCCACTGAGAGCCAGTTGCCCAGATCTGTTGTTGCCCCAGCCAAATGAAGTTCCCGTGAGAGACAGAGCAAAACTGTGTGTGCCACCTGCAGCAACCTGAGCCAGTGGGATCCCCTCTAGAGACTTCACCTTCTGTGGGATAGTTTGGGAACAGAAATCCTTCCCCAGGCCCAGTTGTCCTTGACTGTTACTTCCCCATGAAAACACATGGCCATCTACAAAAATGAAGAACACTTAAGAACTGTACACCTACTGGATTCCCAACACAGTAAAATCTATCACCTCAATTATACACATACACACATATACATTGGTTTTACAGAGGTATCATTGACAAAGGAAATGTATACATATTGAAGCAATATTCTAATATACATATACACTGTAAAATAAATGCCAAAAATAGCTAAATAAATTGCCTCACACAGGCAGTTTTGTTGTTTTGTTTTATTTTTCCAAATTCTACTTGTAGGGCTGGGGCTGTAGCTCTAAGTGTGTGCTCAGACTAAGTAAGGCCTTGGACTCAATGTCCAGGTCCAAGAAAATAAGCAAACAGGAAAGTGAAAAAAACAAAACCCTACTGTCACAGTAAATATCAAGTATACAATGTATTATTATTAATAATATTCACATCATGGGACAATGGTTTCCAGACCTCATTCATCCTATACTTGATTTTGTAGCCTTTGAATATTTCTTCCTTCTCCCTACCTGCATGTTCCTCTATTCTGTTTCTATGAGTCCAGTGTTACTTGATTTTATGTGTAGGTGAATTAGGTAGTATTTATATTCTTATGTTTGGCTAAAGTTATTACTGTAATATCCTAAAGTTGCAAATGCACGATTCTCCTATTTTTTGTACTGGACTTAATTCTACAAACCTTCAAAAATAAAACCAAAATAAAGAGAAATGTGACTAAAATTTTTGGACAAAGGGGAAGGCATATTCAAGATCCCCTTCAAAACAATGTCCATTCTTCTCCCTTTTAAAGACAACTGTGTTCTTACAGCTTTTCTGCCACCAGATAATTGGAGTTGTCCCTGACTTGTGTTTTCTATATGCTTCAAGCTAGAAAATCCTAAATCCCCATTCTTTCCACTGCCAAAATTATGCAGAGTTCAATCATTCCTCATTTCTTAATTGTTACCACTTTATAGTAGTCCCAAACTGGTGTCCCACATGTCTTCCTTGCTTTCAACAGTCTTTTCTGTCAAGGGTGGCCAAAGTAAGGTTTAAAAAAAAATTAAGTGCAGCTCCCAACTCAGGTCACCCTGCAGCTACATCCCTCAGTCCCTCTTCTCTTTGAAACTCACCAGATAACAGGCTCCTTTCTAATAAGGGTCTTCTAGCTGGACCATGCTATGGGAAGACACAGGTAACCCACCTGCATGACCCTTCCTGACTCTGATCACCCCGTGAAGATTAGGATAGATCCATTCTCCAGGCAAAGCCCAACACACACATCCTGTACTAGAGCCCAGCCTCACTTTCTGTTGCAACCACATCAGAAATAGCTAACAAAAAAGTCCAAATTCCCTTATCATCATGCAAAACCAATCTGAAAGATCAAGACAGTATGTACATCCCCAAATCAACCAGTGCTATAGAAACATTCTTCGGTAAGAATTATCTAGATGGACACTGAGGCACAGACTTTAAAATGAACAACCATAAGTGTAACCAAAGAATTCAAAGAATGCTTTTAAAAAGGACACTATTTAGTGAATTTGGAAACTGTCTTATTGATGCTCAATAAAAGCAAACATGAATGAAACGACAAAGAAAGTACAAAATTTGAGATCCAAATTTAATAAAAAAGATAAAAATATTGAAGAGAACTCAAGCTGATATGAAAATGGAATTCTAAAAATATCAATATCCCATTTAGAATTCTCTAAGGAAGGCTTCCAAATAAATTGATCAAGTAAGAGATGGAATATCAAGGATAAAAAATAGAATTAGACAGTACAAGCAAAGAATGGAAAACATTTTAAAAAACAGGAAAGGAACAAGCATGTCTAGTGCAGGACATGGACGAATTATGGAGAAGCACGAAAGACCAAACCTTGGAACTAAGACATAGATAAAGGGGACAAGTCCCAGAAGAGTATCATAGGCCAGAACTTGAGTATGATCACAGAAGAAAACAATCTCAAACTAAGGAAAAATATACCCAGAAAGATATAAGAAACACACAAAATACCAAATAGACAAGATCAGAAAAAAATTAGTCATGGCATACAATAGTTAAAGCATTAAAATGTGAAGAAGGAAGATGTATTGCAAGTTGCGAGAGGAAAAAAAAAAAAACCAGATATACAGGACAACCCATTATAACAACAACTGATTTTTCAATAGAAACTTTGAAAGCCAGAAGAGCTTGAAGCAATGTATCTAACTCCTAAAACACCATAAGTGCAAAGCTATATGTCTGTACCCAGTGAAAATATCAGTCATATATAAAGCAGAAAGAAAACCTTTCACGGTACAGACATGTTAAAAGAGTTTGTGTCTACAAAATCAGACCTGCAAAGAATACAGGAAGTAATACTTGAGACTGAAGATAGGAATATGCACAGCCAAGTGACTATAGAAAGGGGAAAAAGAATTTTAAGCTAAACTCTAGTATACACAACTTGATAGCAACTATAGAGCTGGAATTAAAGACAGATTAACACCAATTTAATAATTTCAGATAATCTTACTTTCTCCAATAGATTGGCCATCTAGAGAACCTAACAGATATCTTCAGAGCTTTCACTGAAATGCCAAAGAATATACATTCTACTGAGCAGTCCATAGAAGTTCCTCTAAAATACACCACATCACAAATGTGGCATGCACTAATAAAAATCAGTACAGAAATCAATGAATGGAAACAAACAAAACAATACAGAGTTGGATCAAAATATATAACTCAATAAATAAGATAAGTATACTTAAGGGAAAAAATCACATCATCATCTCAATAGATACAGAAAAAGCCTTGATGAAATCCAATATGCTCCCTCATCAAAAGTTCTAGAGAGCCTTTCCACCCAGTCCTTTATGCTGGGGCAAACTCCTGGCTGGTCTGCTCCCTCGAAGACACCATATCCTGACCCATCCTAGAGGATCCTCTCCACTCAGAGTAGTCGTCAAGAACCTCCCCCAACCCCCAAAGTCTTAGAGCGGCCTGCTGGGAGCCCCAGTAGACTCGAGACCCATTGACCACCAAAATCCCCGCCCCTCAAATATCACTTCTCTTCCGCCCCTTCTGCCAGGTCCTTTCTGCTGGGGCAGACTCCTAGCCAATCTGCTCCAATGAAGACAGCATATCCTGACCCATCATAGAGGATCCGCTGCACTCAGAGCAGTTGAAACCATATCCTGAGCCATTCCAGAAGATCGGCTACACTCAGAGCAGTCAGACAACTGATACCACAGCCTGAGGCATCCCAGGAGATCTGTTGCACACAGAGCAACTGAGCTGATCACAAGCTTGAGTGCTCCTCTGAAGATCCAACAGTTTGAAGGCCTCCCAGGAGATCTACTGCAGCCAGGGCAACAGATCAGAAGCTTCTCTGCCCCTCTGAAGAGCCCCCAGTTGGAAGGCCCCATAAGTGGTCTACTACAGCCAGGGCTGCAGGCCTACTAGACCTGAAGCAACCCAGGGGTAAAAGAGACAGAATCCAGACAGAGTCGCCCAGACCAGCAAACACCAGGGATAACCAGATGGATAGAGGCAAGTACAAGAACATAGGCATCAGAACCCAGTTCTCCCACCTCACCAAGCCCTGAATACACCAACATACCTCAAAACCTGGAAGCTGACCTAAAAATCTTATCTCATGAAGATAATACAGTCCTTTAAGGAGGATATAAATAACTCACTGAAAGAAATACAGGAAAACACAGGTAAACAGGTAGAGCCCTTAAAGGGGAAACAAATAAATCCCTTAAAGAAATATAGAAAAACACAATCAAAAAGGTGAAGGAATTGAATAAAGCAACACAAGACCTAAAAGTGGAAGTAGAAACAATAAAGAAAACACAAATGGAGGCAACCTGGAAATTGAAAGTCTGGGAAAGAAGTCAGAAATTATGAATGTAAGTATCACCAACAGAATACAAGAGATAAAAAAAGAGAACCTCAGGGATAGAAGATACCATAGAATAGATTGACACAACTGTCAAACAAAATTCAAAACGTAAAAAGTCCTAACCCAAAGCCTCCAGAAAATTCAGGACACAATGAAAAGACCAAAATCAACAGACCTGTAAATGTCTTCAACAAAATCATAGAAGAAAACTTCCCCAGACTAAAGAAAGAGATGGCCATAAAGGTACAAGAAGCCTATAGAACACCAAATAAATGGGATCAGAAAAGAAAATTTTCTTATCACATAACAGTTAAAACACTAAACCCAGAGAACAAAGAAAGCATATTAAAAGCTACAAGGGAAAAGGGTCAAGTAAGATACAAAGGTAGACCTATCAGAATTACACCGGACTTCTCAACAGAGACTATGAAAGCCAGAAGAGCCTGGTCAGAGGTCATGCAGACTTTAAGAGAGCACAAATGCCAGCCCAGGCTATTATACCCAGCAAAACTCTCTATCAAAATAGATGGAGAATACAATATGTTCCAGGAGAAAACCAAATTCAGACAGTATCTATCTACCAATCCAGTCTTACAGAGAATCATAGACGGAAAACTCCAACACAAGGAAGGTACCCACACCAAAGAAAAGACAAGATATTAAGCATCTCACAACAAAGCCAAAAGAAGAAAAGCACAAGCACACAAAGCCACCTACAAGAACAAACATATCAGGAACCAACAGTCATCTGTCTTTAATATCTCTCAGTATTAACGGACTCAACTCACCTATAAAAAGACATAAACAGACTGGATGCACAGACAAGATCCAGCATTTTGCTTCATACAATAAACACACCTCAATAACAAAGACAGAGGGACTGGAGAAGATGGCTCAGTGCTTAAGAGCACTGACGGCTCTCCCAGAGGTCCTGAGCTCACTTCCCAGCAACCACATGGTGGTTCACAACCATCTGTAATGGAATCTGATACCTTCTTCTTGTGTGTCTGAAAACAATGACAGTGGATTCACATATATAAATTAAATGAATAAATCTTTTTCAAAAAATGACAAAGACAGACACTATCTCAGAGTAAAAGGATGGGAGAAGGTCTTCCAAGCAAATGGTCCC